AATTAATCGCATATTACTAAGTGAAAGAAGCCTGTCTGAAAAGACTTCATACTGTGTGAATCCAACTCTATGACCTTCTGGAAAAGGCAAAACTATGAAAACAGTAAAAAGAGCAGGGTCATGGGGAGGCAGAAATAGGCAGAGCCCAAAGGATTTTTAGGGCAGTGAAAATACTCTAAATGATCTCATAGTGATGGCTACATGTCACGATACATTTGTCCAAACTCACAGAAGGAATGACACCAACAGGGAACTGTAATGTGAGCTATGGACTTGATAATGATGTGCCAGCTGTAACGAATGTCCGGCTCTGGGGAGGCTTGACATGTGTGAGGCCAGGGGGCATAGGGGAAATCTGTACCTTCCCCTCAATTTTGCTGTGAACCTCCAACTGTTCTAAAAATGTAGTCTTAATAATAATAATGAATAAAATCATTTCCCACCATGAAAAAAAAATAGAAGAAACCTGGTGGGGGGATAGGGTAACTGGGTGATGGGCATTAAGGAGGGCACATGATGGGATGAGCACTGGGTGTTACACTGTATGTTGGCAAATTGAATTTAAATCTTAAAAATAAAATAAAAAATAAAAATCTTTAGGGGCACCTGAGTGGAACAGTCAGCTGAGCAGCCGACTCTTGATTTTGGCTCAGGTCATGATCTTGGGGTGTGGGATCAAGCCCCCATTGTAGGCTCTGCACTCAGTAAAGAGTCTGCTTGGGATTCTCTCTCTCCCTCTGCCCGGCTGCCCCCCTCCACATGCTCTGTCTCTCCCTAAAATAAATAAATAAATATTTGTAAAAAAATAATAAAATCAAAGTCTTTAAAAAATAGAAAAAAACCTATATAGATGTATAAGACAATAATTGGGTCTAGAAAATGGAATTACGTTTTTATTTTCTTCTTTGTAATTTGAGAAATATTCCACAATCATCATCAATTAAAAAGAAAAAAACTGTTTCAAAAATAAATACACAGTCAAGGCGTTAGGCCACGTGTGAGGCTGCCCAGAGCAGCACCAGCCATCCACAAGAGGCGGGGACACTGAGTAAACAAATAGGAGAGGGAGCCCAGCTGGCACCATGGCCAGGGAGCCAATGACCCCTGGGGCTGACCACAGGAGCCTTAATCTGAATTCAGATCCATCTGGAATTCAGAAGTTCTTTTATTCTCTAGAGTACAGTTCTGAATTCATCAGTACCCAGGAGAGGCACTGATGGAAAAGTCACCCTGCGGAGGGAATATCAGTTATCTGTCCTATGTGTGAATATATAAAACAGTTTGGTGAAAAAGCATCAGCCAATAAGCCAGGATTCAAGACAAGATTTCAAGTTAAATTGAAGGAGATAGGGATCCCCGGGGTGGCTCAGTGCGTTAGCGCCTGCCTTCGGCCCAGGGTGTGATCCTGGAGACCCGGGATCGAGTCCCACGTCGGGCTCCCTGCGTGGAGCCTGCTTGTGTCTCTGCCGCTCTCTCTCTCTCTCTCTCTCTCTCTCTGTGTGTGTGTGTGTGTGTCTATCATGAATGAATAAATAAACAAAAGTCTTTTTAAAAAATTGAAGGAGATAGGAACAATTGTGCTCCTTTTCCTAAAATACAAACCAACAAGCAAAACCCACTCAGGTCCTATGGGGGTACCTAGAAGTCTCCTCATGGTAAAGATATGCCCTTTGACCCTTGTTATTTGGAAGCAAAGCGACATCGAGGAAGAGCCCTGTGTTCCAGAGCGGATATGCTGATAAGCCAGGGAACGGGTTTGAATGGCTTGTCCCCCGACCCTGCCGCTCGGGACCATCATACAAAGTATCTGATCCTCACTTCCTTACAAAACACTCTGGGGCCATGAATTTGTTGCATTGGACTCCCAAGGCAGGCCTGGCCCTGTGCTTCACCTCTTCCCTACATTTCTGTACAAATATATTCGGTTCATTGTTTACTTGGACTTGGCAACTTCCAGTTAATGTCCCAGGGGAGGCATCAGGTGGCCAGTGAGTAGAACAAATGTTCAGGAAACCCTCAGGCCCGGTCCTTTGTCTGATGTCACCTGTCCCCAGGACTGGGGTCCCAGTGCACTCTCAGTGGCCCTGGGCTCAGCCCCCGTGGCTCCTCGGGGTTGGCAGAGAGGAGGTGTGCTCCCAGGGTATGGAGTCCCCTGGAGGAGCCACACTCAAGAGGTCACTAGAAATAAGTTTCTTTACACGTGTACTAACCCCTGAAATCCTTTTCCTGGAGGGCGTGGCACTCTCCTTGGAGATGGCATTTATGAAAGAATATATGACTGTGCCTTTTTTGGCCTTATTTTCTTTCCATACATGGGAGTTGACTATTTTGAAGAATAGATACCTTTTCGCAGGTGCTGTGCATACAGATGAGTGACTTGACACATGTATCCCTTGCTTCTTAGAGCAATGAAGGCCTTAAATTTGTGGGAATTGAACCATATTTTAAAATGCACCTACTAGAAATTCCGTGGTGAACTATTTTTTTTAAAGACTCTTTAAAAAAGAGTCCTAAGATTTTTTGGTAACTACTTTAACGAGCTATAATTCATATTCCTTACCATTCACCCATTTAAAATGGTTTCTATTATCTTCAGAGTTGGGCTACCATCACTACCGTTAATTGCGGAACATTTCCACCACTTCACCTGTACACTCGAATTATCAGCCTCCCCCCGTGTGTCACCACCTGCCCCCATTCACCTCCCAGTCCTAGGCAACCACTCACCCATCACTTTCTATCTCTACTGATTTGCCTCTTCTGGGCATTTTGTATCAACAGAACCATACAGCACGTGGTCTTTTGTGACTGGCTTCATTTAGCAAAATGTTTTCAAGGTTCATCCATGAGGTAGCACGTTGTCATCGGTACTCTGCTCCTTTTTTATAACAAATAATAATTCAATGTATGGACACAGCACATTTTGTTATCCACCAGTTGGTGGACATTTGGGTTCTTTCACCTTTGGCTATTATGAATAATGCTGCTTTGCACATTCACGGTCAAGTTTTTGTGGGGACACATGTTTTCAGTTCTCTTTGGGGATATACCTAGGAGGGGATTTGCTGGGTCAAATGGTAATTCTATGTTGAGCTTTCGGAGGGACTGTCAGACTGTCCTTTAGCAAATGCACCATTTTACATTCCCCTTAGCAGTGTGTAGGGTTTTTACTTTTTCCATCTCCCCACCAACACTTGTTATCTGACTTTTAATAATAGTCCTCCTAGTGGGTATGAATTGGTATCTGGTTGTGGTTTTGATTTGCGTTCCCCTGATGGCCTGTGATGTTGAGCATCTCTTCCTGTGCCCTTGTATATCTTCTTTGGACACGTGTCTATTAAGATACTTTGCCCATTTTTTAAAATCGGGTTGTCTTTTTGTTAATTAGTTGTAAGAGTTCTTTCCATAATCTAAGTACAAGTCCCTTACCAGATACATGATTTGCAAATAGTTTCTCCCATTCTATGGGTTGTCTTTTTCCTTTCCATATAGTGTCCTTTGAAGCAGAAAAGTTTTAAATTTTGACCAGGTCTAATTTATTCAGTCCTTCCCCTCTGAATTGTTTTATCACTCTTGAAATTCAGTGGACTGTAAAAGTGAAGGTTTATTTCTGGATTCTCCGCTCTACCTCATTGATCTATATGGCCACCCGCATGCTGGTACCACACTGCCCACACACACACCGCACCGCCACTTCTCTCTCTCCTTTTGATACCGCGTTCCTTTATTATTTCCACAGGACACTTAGTCATGCCGGAGAATCCCCCTGGCTGAACCTCAAGGAGTTTAGAAAGCTGCTTTCTTGCACTTGGTCCATAATGGCACCAGCAACACCTCTTTCTGACTCATCTATTTTTTGTTGTTATTTTTTTGTTGCTCATGCTTTGGTGTCAAACCAACCAGGCTCAAGCCTTCGGTGGAGAGAAGCGCAGGGGACCCCTCTGCCTGAGGAAGACTGCAATGTCCTGGGGCCCCACGCTTCCCCATGTCCTTCTTCCCAGGTTAGCAATGGGGGTCGTAGGGGCCCCCTGGATTTCTTGGGCTTTTTCAAATGTCCAAATATCCCCAAATGTCTAGTTTCCTGGAACTCATTAAGCCTTAGGCAAGGTCCTGACACTGTGCTTCGGGCATGACTTTAGGACCTGGTGTGAGGAGGTGGGAAGGCACGGCCCTTGCACACAGCATGCCTGGGACCCACCGGGTCCCCAACCCTGAGGCCCTGACTCTGAGCCCTGACTACAAACTCCCCACCCCCTCAGTAGGAGTGAGCCAGGGCCTGTGGAGCCAAGCCTTTCCTGCCCTACCAGGATTCGCTGAGCTCCGGTAATTGCAAAATGTGTGATCCCAGGGCCATCGCTTCTGGCTCCCAAGGTCTGAAAAGCAGACCAATTAGCTATGGGGTGGAAACCAGCCAAAGAGTAATTTCCAGTAGATTCGGGTGTGGCCTGATTGTGCTTCTGCTCCTCTCTCATCAGCTGGTGCGTGCTGCAGAGGTACTGGTAAGGATCATTGGAATGGATATGACATTAACCTTACCCCTTGTCCATAAGAATGCTTCAGAAGGAGGGTCTATCATGGGTGTAAAATATCACATTGTCTGCTTCTATCATAATTGACTTAACCATTGTCTCCAGAAGGACTGGGATCCCTTCAGAGGACCCAGCATTAAGCTTCTAATGTATCTCTTTGGGCGAAGATCTGTGTCCCCAGCATCAGTGACCAGCACTACACTCACACCGGATCTGCCCAAACAACGACAATCCGCAGACAGCTCCCATCACCGAAGGGTCAGCAGCCAGGACACAGCCAGGATGGCCCGGGGTGCGGCCTGGCCCTCACTTCTGGTTCTTCTGTAAAATCCACAAAGCCTGATAGAAAAGGAGAGTTCTAGAGCCACAGAAAAAGGGTTTTTCCAGTGGGATGTGTTAGGATTCAACACTTCAAGTAGAACAACTTACTTGCAATGTCATTCCTGAAAGAAGCCAAAGAGGAAATCCCCCTCAGACACAAGCTGTTTGTGTTTATTTGGAAACTGAGAAATTGCCAGGTGAGCCCATATGAATCCACCCAGGTGCCAGGGTCTGGACGAGTCAACACTGGATGCTCAGAATGAACGGAAGAGTCAGCCTGGAAGGTTCTTTGTGCGGCTAGAAGACTCCCTGGAGCCTCATGCACAGGCTGAAGGTTCGATGGCATCTGTGACAGAAACTTCACGGTTATTGCCCATTTTTTCCCTATTTCTCAGCTCTCTGGGTGGCCTCCGCAGGGAGCGGCTCTACTCATCCTTCCAGGCTCAGGACCCCGGCATCACTGCCAGGGCAGGTGGCCCTCTCCTGACACGCTCCTTACCTACAGATTCCCTCCTCCCCGCCCATCCCCTTCACTGGTATGAGACCGTATCCCCGTGAATGTGTGAGTGTCCCTATACATGGGCAGCGTGTGTTCACATGTATTTTAGTTAATATGAGTGGTATTGGGTTCTCTTCTTCCTTGCCACCACGCAGCCCCGTGTTGTTCCCGGGTGGGCACGGCGTGTCGATCCGCAGGCCTCTGTCGGGTGGGAGCCGAGAGAACCAAAACCACCAGACGAAGCAGACACCTGGGCAGTTTGGCCTGGCGCTGGCCTGTCGAGATTCCGAGCAAACGTACCCACGTCATCGTTGTGTTTCATTCACAAGGAGTTATTCGCCTTGAGACACAGACAATGTTAGATGTCCCCCCTCTGGTTTATTATGAGCCCCGCATTAAGGCCGGGAGGTATTTAAACTCAGACATTTTAGGACTCCTCTTTGGACCCCACAACATCTCTGGACGGGGGCGCGGGTCACACAGCCCTGGAAAGATCCATCCAAAGATCCTGGAAAGATCCAGGTGTCCAGACCACACAGGCTCCTGCCGTCTCACCCCACAGCACACGTTCACCGGCCTCCTCCCTCTGTCTGGCAGGGCCCTGCCAAGGCCGGGGCCGTCACTCTCCCCACCGGGCCACCCAGGGCTCCCCACGCAGGCCCCATGGGTCCCGGCGGCCCTCCTCCCTCCTGCAGGTGAGCCCCTGGCTCATTCTTCCCTGGCCCTCGGGGCTAAATGGCAGGCTCAGGCCACTGTGCCCTTTCCGAGCCTCCAAAACGCGACACGCTCCTTGTGCCAGGACAGGTCATCAGCCCTAAAACTACAGAGGTTTTCCAGACGTAAAAGAGGTCAAGCTCTTAAGAACAGTAACGTCTGGTTCCGCTCCCAGAAGGAGAAAAATACCTCTCACTGTCTCCTCACCAGCCATGAGCCCACTCTGCCCCTACCCCTCAAGGATGAACAGAATTACTTAAATAAAACAGCCACGAAACCAAAATCTTCCATCTTTCAGCCGGCATCCCACGACACTGAGAGTTAATTGAGCGCTTACCGCGTCCTAGGTGCTTTGCCAGGCACCTGATTGAAGCAACCTCGTTTTATCTTCACAAGGACACTGCGGGGGACGGTAAGAGTCTCTCCATCCTCCACGTGAGGGATGTGAGACTTCAGAAGAGGGGAACTTGCTCCGAGTCTGAGACTGCTGTCAGTCCTCTGGGCTGAATGGACTTTTATAACCCGGTGCCTTCTAGAAGACTGCATCCCGTCTGCAAAGCCTTCTTCTCTGTGGAAGCTAAGGACGACTCAGTATGCAAGCTAGGCCTTGCTGAGCTATTCTAGCACATACGGCCTGCCCCTCCCAGGGGATGTGTTCCAAACCTGGCTCCGCCAAAGCTCCAGAAATTCATCCTGTCGTGTCTTGTGCCGTGCTGGCCTCCCTGCCTTCCTGGGGATGAGCACAGCCCTGTCCTTTTGCATAAAAGGCTTACAGAAAGTTCAGCCCCAAGAAAAGCCATCTCCTGCTTCTTCCTCCTCTCACTTCCCGGGAGTCCTTTCTCTCTGATGATAGAACCACTCCTTTTTTTGTTTTGTTTTAAAGATTTTATTTATTTATTTATTTATTTATTCAGAGAGAGAGAGAGAGAGAGAGGCAGAGACACAGGCAGAGGGAGAAGCAGGCTCCACGCAGGGAGCCCAACGCGGGACTCGATCCCGGGTCTCCAGGATCAGGCCCTGGGCTGAAGGTGGTGCTAAACCGCTGCGCCCCCCCGGGCTGCCCGGATGGTAGAACCCCTCCTGAAGGGAAGGCCCAGCAGTGGGTATCACAAACTGCCCCCTTATGCTCACGCACACCCCCACGACAGACTCCCAGATGCCGTGAGGTCTCCCACTGGCCAGGTTCAACTTTGACTCTGGGTTCTCGCTCTTTCGAGGCCAAACTAGTTTGCAGCTCTGGCGCCCGTGGCCCCTTGGCGGGGTTAACCTGCAGAAGCCGGGAGCATCACTCACCTGCCGCGTGTTTCCATCTACAGCAAATCCGTTCCAAAGGGCGGACTCGGGGGTCGGCTTGCAGAGGCAACAGTGGCGCCTGTCCTCACCTGTCCTCACCTCGGGAAGGCCAATGACTGGGGACCAATGGCCTCGACCGCAGGGAAAGCGTTTTGCATCAACTGCCCCTCTTAGCACAAGAGTTCCTTACGCTGTAGGTCAGGAAGCAATTGTTCCAGCGTGACCCACGAAGAAACTGAGGCTCCTTGACTTTTTAAAATCAGAAAATGTTTTTTGTTTTTTCTGTTTTGTTTTTTTTGTTTGTTTGTTTGTTTTTTTGGGAAATGTTAATACAGTCGCAGGAGCTTGGTGCTGCGGCAGCCGCGGAGGCCAGGCCAGGTAACTGCAGAGGGGGCCCGGTGCGGGGGCAGGGAGCTGTGGGCCCCGCTCTCCCAAGGGGGGATCCTGGCGTGGACGTGCCCCCCTCTTCTGAGCTTCTTCAGAGAAGTGGGCAGGGCCCAGGCAGGAGACTACACGCCCATTCCCACAACCAGGCCACCTGCTGGACCACATCAACAGGGTTTTCAAGTGTCCAAAACAAAATAACCCGGTGACAAGCCCACTGGGTGCTGTTGCAATTCCAGAAGGGGCACCTGAATGTCCATCAGACCTTTTTTTTTTTTTTTTTTTTTTTTTTTTTTTTTGCAAGAGGTCTCCTCATCTGTGAGGGACATGGTGAGGTCTCTGGGGACTCCTAATCCCCCCGGCCAAGCTGATAGTGCCAGGAGACCCCAGCTGGTGTCTGCCCCTCCGCAGCCATCAGGAGGCAGATGCCCTCCTGTCCTCGATCAGAGCCCCGACTGGGCACCCCTAGGGTGCCTGGCCTCCTCGGTGTGCTGGCCTCAGCCCCAGCTTCGCCCTCACCTGGTCTCCTCTCCCCTAAGCGGCTCCGCTGGGCAGCCCGACACCCCGCACCACACGCAGCAGCAGGCTCCCCGGGGCAGGCGGAGGGCTCCCTCCACTGCCAGGTCTCCGCTCCTCCTGGGCTGGTCCCCCGCGGCTGGTGGGCAGGCCCAGGACACTGGGTGAGAAGCTGGAGGGAGGTGGCCACCTCTGGGTGGGCCGGGCGGGGCCAGTTCGGGACGCTGCCAGGAGAGAAGCCCTTAAAGCCTAGCACCTCCTACCACCCATGCCGACAGCGCAAAATAAAAACAACTGAAAACTGCAAACTCGTACAACAAAATCCAGGGTTCCAGCAAACCCTGTTTTCCCATAACAGGCCATTTAATGCCCTTTTTTTAAAATTTCAAATTTCAGGGGATCCCTGGGTGGCTCAGTGGTTTAACACCTACCTTTGGCCCAGGGCGCGATCCTGGAGTCCCGGGATTGAGTCCCACGTCAGGTTCCTGGCATGGAGCCTGCTTCTCCTTCCTCCTGAGTCTCTGCCCCCCAACCTGCCCCCCCGTCTATCATGAATAAATAAATCTTTAAAAAATTTTCAAATTTCAAACTTTTCCCCTCCCCAGTTGTTGGAGACATGAGCAGGCATTTGATGTGCCCGCCGGGCAACGCACACAGGCTTGGGGAGGGAGGCAGGCGAGGCCGAGTGTGGGCCCAGGGGTCCGGAGCCTGTGGGGGAAGAAAGGACTGGGCAGAGACAGCCATGGGAGGGGAGGAGGGGAGAGGGATCCCGAGCTCGCAGAGGGGCCGGGCCTAGGGGCTGCGGCTGGCCAGGGGGGGTCCACGCCGATGAGGTGGCCGTGGTGGCCCCGGCCATACCTCAGTGGGATGGGGGCCTCCGCAAGGCCACCAGAGCCTCCTCCCTGCTGTGCCGACCTGGGCTTTGAGCCAGCCACGCTGGGTTCCACAAAAGTCACTGTCACTCAGTCTCGGGGAAGCTTGGGACCAGCATACTAAAGCCCCAAGCAGGCCCAGGCCAAGGGCAGATCCCCACAGGAAAGCAGGAAAAAAAGAAAAAAAAAAAAGATGACTCACCAAGAGGCAAGTGGCAGTGCCAGGGACATGTGAGGCTTAGGAGAGGCACTTCACCGCGGCCGCTGCCGAGCCTCCAGGACCTAGTTAGGTGACTGCATTGCCCCCGGCCTCGGGGAGGAAGGGACAGAAACCCAAAGTCGTGCCATTCAGTGGTATTAATTACCCTCATGAATGTTGTGCAGCTGTCACCACTGTTTTCAAAACATTTCAACACCCGAAACAGAAACTCTGTACCCATTAAGCAATAACTCCCCAGTGCCCCTACCCTAAACCTAGTAGCCTCCACTCTACTTTCTGTCCCCTTGAGGTTGCCTAGTCTTTTTTTTTTTTTAAGATTTTTATTTATTTATTTGAGAGAGAAAGAGAGAGAGAGGGAGAGAAAGCATAAGCAGGGGAAGGGGCAGAGGGAGGGGGAGAAGCAGGCCTCCCGCCAGGTGGAGGTGGCACTGAGGGGCTCCATCCCTGGACCCCCAGATCATGACCTGAGCGGGAGGCCGATGCTTAAGGACTGAGCCAGCCTGTGCCATGCATTAGCCTATCCTACCTAGACAGCTCGTGTAAGTGGGGTCATACGGCATCTGTCCTTCTGTGCCTGGTGTCTGGCTTTTTTTCACGTGGCGTAATGTCCTGCAAAGTTGATTCATTCAAAGTTGCAGATGTGTCAGAAGCTCTGCTCTTTTTCCAGGCTGGCTAATATTCCACTGTGGTAGAGACCGGGCTTGGTTCATCGGAGCAGGTGTCGGTGCACACTTGGGGTGCTTGGGGGTGCTCCACCTTTGGGTCCCGGTGGATGACGCTGCCGGGAACGTGGGTGTGCAAGTATCTGCTGGGGACTCGGTTTCACCTCTCTTGAGTATAGGCCCCGAAGTAGACGACCCAGACACGCGGGATCCCACGTTCAACTGAGGCCAGCTGAGGAACGGCTGCCCCATTAGCCGCCTCTCTCTGTTTGCTGGTAACGTTCTGCTTCAAGAGGCTAAGTTCCTTGGGCAACGTTCTTCTTCTTTTTTTTTTTAAGATTTTTAAAATTATTTATTCATGACAGAGGGAGGGAAGGGAGAGAAGCAGGCTCCACGCAGGGAGCCCGACGCGGGACTCGATCCCGGGTCTCCAGGGTCACCCCGGGCTGCAGGCGGCGCTAACCCGCTGGGCCACCGTTCTTAGAGCGCTCCCCTAAATAAGCCAAAGTAACCGGAGGGCCAGAAGTATTCCGGAAACCAAATAAAATCAGACAGGGGAGCGGCGCGGGTCGACGGGAGGCCCTCGCTCGGGGACCCCCAGGAAAGGCCCGGCCCGCGTGCACGTGCTGCCACCTTCCGTCCCGAGGCCGCCGCCGCCGCCGCCGCCGCCGCCGCGGGGAGGGCGCCCCAGGGGGGAGAGCAGGGGCTGCCCCACGGGTCCCCGCCCCGCCTGCCCCCCCGCGACAGGGGCCGCGCGGGACGCGGCCGGGTGCGCGCCCCGGCTGGAGGCTGGAGGCTGGAGGCTCCGCGCGGGGAGCCCGGGCCTGCGCCGGCGCCCACGGCCGCCAGGGGGCGCAGGGGAGCGCCGCCACCTGCGCGGCCACCTGCGCGCCACCTGCGGCGCCACCTGCCCGCCGCTCCTCCCGGGTCCCGCCTGAGAGGGTCCGCAAGCAGGGGTCTCGGCGCGGGGCTGGGGACACCTGGGGCGCGGGGAAGGGAGCCTGAGGGGCTCGGCCACCCGCGACCCGGAGACTGGAATGGGGACCACACCCAGTTGTCACTGTGGCCCTACGCGGAGTGTCCCCTCCTCAAACTTCGTGCCTGTTTCTCTCAGGGGCCACGGGCTCGCGGAGAACGGGAGCATCAGGCACCTGTGCCCCACGCAGAGAGGGCGCACACGCTCCGTGTCCCCCAGATGCCCCACACCGAGGACTGGGTGCTCAGAAAAGGTTGATGGATGGAAGGAAGGAAGGAAGGAAGGAAGGAAGGAAGGAAGGAAGGAAGGAAGGAAGGAAGGAAGGAAGGAAGGAAGGAAGGAAGGAAGGAAGGAAGGAAGAAGGAAGGAAGGAAGAGAAAGGAAGGAAAGGAAGGAATGGGAAAGAATGCATTTGCTCCCACATGGTGTGGAGAGAAATGAACTGGGAGCCTGGCCCCAAGACTCTGCTATCAACACTGCCACGGATCCATGCAGTCAACCCACAGGCTTCATTAGTTCCCAAGGGGTCCAGGCCCAGGGACGCTCCAGTGGTTGGTCCCTTTTAAATTTATTTTAAGGAAAATGCAAGCAGAACAAATGGCCAGAATTGGGGGCTTTGGGCCATAATGCAAAATGCGATGTATGTAAATATGAATACATACATAAATAAA